GGATTCGGGACCTGCGAGTAACGAAATGATTTGTTTTCTTTATTATCGTGCAAGCGAGGCAGGGGAAGGCCCAGAACAACATACTTAGGGAACCTAAACAAATGGGTAACGGGGGAAGATCAGGGAAACGTGGCTTTTTTTTAGAGCATCCGCGAGCAAATGAATGAATGGAGAACCATGATCGCCGATGTCTGTCGCAGATCTGGCCCTGGATGATGATGATTGTCGTGCTTACAACAACAACAACAACAACAAGTACAACAACAACAACAACAACAACAACAACAACAACAACAACAACAACAACAATGATGATTGTCGCAACTCTTCACATCTGTCGTGCCCTTCTCTCCACTTCTAAGAGGTCAGATTGCCAATGAATCACGCCCAATCTGACACAATTTAGACGGATTTTTTAAAACCATAATACATTTGTATATATTATTATAGCAATTCAGTTGAGATGGGCTACTCCATAAAGTATCTTCCCCACTTAACAATCGGACCCAGGTCTTTGTTTTGTTTTAGTAAGGTTTTACGGCGCTCGCAGCTGCACAAGGTCATATGAGCGCCAAGGGGTGGATGTCAACAGAGAAGTCCTTACAGGGAATCAGGCTTACTCTGCTCATCCCTCTAGCTTCAACAGCACAAAGTCTGCTTCGACTATCAAGGCAACCCGGAAATAGCGAGTCACAAGAGAGTGACAAACATGCAAAAGAGGTAGAGAGAAAATGACGATAGTAAGGATGAGGAAATAAAAAGCAGCAGTTCCCCATATGTTGTTTCGGCACAGTATGAGCACGACATTGATGAATCAGCCCATTTACAATTCTTCTGTGCACAAGAACAGATTAAAATCCCCCCTTTGGAAAGAACCCAAGTCTTTTACGTGTTCAAATGGAATAGGTTTTACACCCCTTTCAACACAATAAAGTCATTCAAGGGCTGGAATACACGATAGAAATCAAATGACGTAGTCGCAGTACTTGATGAAGCCCACGTGGGACGCTCACTGTTTAAAAACAATCAGGAAACGACAAATGCAGTTTTTGGGACACCTGAATAGACATAAGGGTCTTGAACATCTAGCTCTCGCTGGCAAAATTGAAGGCAATCGAGGCAGGGGTAGGCCCAGAGCAACCTACTTAGGGAACCTAAACAAATGGGTAACGGGGAAAGATCAGGGAAACGTAGCCTTTTTTAAGAGCGTCCGAGCAAAGGAATGAATGGAGAACCACGATCGCCTATGTCTGTCGCAGATCTGGCACGGGATGATGATGATCTGATACGTATATGCATCCCAGTTTTAAAGGTACGACCACACCAACAGCCTAATGAAATACTTCAGTTACGAAAGAAATGATGACAGACAGAAGGAGCAAGAAACTTGATCCCAGCCCATCAAACAAAACGTTGTTAAATTATCTGTTATTCTTGGGTTGACATTTTTCAAAAAATCAACCCAGCAGAACTCGATCGAGCCTTTGCCAAATTATATTTAGATCTAGCCCCGCTAACTGGTCGGAAATTTCTGCTGATTGAGAAAAAAGTAATTAATTCTTTTTTATCATGCTCACACCCCCTACCCACACCCACACACAAACACGCACGTACACAAACACGCAC